TTTTTGAACATTAAAGCATGTCAACATATTCTGTTACACCAAATAATGATCTTTAAAAAAAGCATCATATGACCCCTTTAACAAACTAGTGCTTTCTCAGTCAGGGTCGGCTGCAAAGATGAAGTTGCCGAATGCCGGAACTGACTCGCATCTCCACAAAGGACGTGCCTTTATAATCAGAGAAAATGTGTTTCTTATTTTAATTGGTTTTCAAGCTTTCTGCAGATTTATTAATTATGTCTGTGAGCTGGTATATTGTTGTGATTCATGGAGACTGCATGAGACGACAGAAAGCACATACAAAAATGACGGGAGTAGGCTATTTTAAGTTATTTCCACAGAAACAATAAATAAACAATGATTGCGCGGGCGCCCCCATGTCATACAGTAAGCGTGATAATACTCCCACACTCCTCATTAACATTTGAAATGAGCTTATATAGCGATTTTATTATTCATATAAAAAAAAATAATAATAATAACAACCTGTTTTGGTCATATTTACTATTAATTGGCCATTGTTCTAGCACCCCCTCAGCACCTGCAATTCTCTGGCGCCGCCCCTGTGTGTGCTCATTACCTGCGGAGGTGTAGGTGTGGAGACACTGCGACCTGCTGACATGATCTCTTCTGTGATGTCACGTCCTCCCTGATTAGGGTCAAAGATCCTGATCTAGAGAGAGACATTTAGCAGACGTAACAGAAGAAATGAGAACATGGCTGAGAGAGAGAGAGAGAGAGACTTTAACATGCAGCACATGGAAAAGACTAAAGCACAAATAAGTCACGATATAAACAAGAGAAAAAGAACAACAGTGACTGATTTAACCCAAGAAGCATTTCTCAGTGTGGTCTCTGACAAACACACACACACACACACGTGCGCGCACAAATGAGGCAGCACATTCGGACGGAGAGGTTGAGTTTTGCTAGGCCCGGCTCATTCTTGGGCTGGAGTTTAAACTCAGCCTAACTTGGACACACTAAAGTGAGCAGCACATTCACACACGGTCTGGGCCGATGTGGGCCTCAAACTCTCTCAGAGAGACAGAGAGAGAGAGAGAGCCACGTGGAGCAACAGAACGATCTAAAGTGACCCTGAAGACATTTAGAATGTTTCAAAAGATTTCTATTTCAAATGAATGCTGTTCTTTTGAACTTTCTATTCATCTGTGAATCCTGAAAAATAAAATGCAAACATTAACTGTTTTCAACACGGATAATAATCAGAAATGTTTCTCGAGCAGCAGATCAGCATATTATACTGATTTCTGAAGATCATGTGACACTGAAGACTGGAGGAATGATGCTGAAAATACAGCTGCGCATCACAGAAATATATTACAGGTTAACAGAGATTCACATAGAAAACAGCTATTTTAAACCGTAATAATATTTCACAATTGTTCCTGTATTTTTAATCAAATAAATGCAATCTTGGTGAGCAGAAGACTAATTTTTCTACTAATTCTACTTAAAAAAAAAAATAAAAAAAATAAACCAGATTATCAGTCACTGCTCAGAATTAAACGCAATCAACATTAAATCTGATTCTGAATCACTCAGCTTTATGACAGACAATCGTTGTTTGAGGATACCATAAAAATAAAATAGAAATAAAAACAAAATTCTCTTTTCAAACAGCATTTATTAACTCCAAATACAGCTCAAGCTAAAATTAACGTTTGGATGAATAATTCTAATTTTTGTTTATTTTAAGTTTTTCCATCTAATATTCCCATTTTATTTCAGCTTTATTTAAATTAACAAAATGTTTTTAATAGTTTTAATATTAGGTAATAATCCTGGTTGCAGTCAGTGTTGGGTCAGTTACTCAAAAAAAAGTTAATTCATTAGTTACTAATTACATCTTCAACAGTGTAATTAGATTACTGTACGAATTACTCTCTCTAAAAAGTACTGAATTACTCATTACTAATTCTTTTCAACAGTATATCCCACACCAGCCTTGACCAGTTGAACAAAAAAAAAGACATGAAACTGCTCATTTCATTTTTTTTTCAAAGAAATAATATAAAATTGCATACATTATTCTTAAACTGACCAAAGTATTAAAGAGAGAAGGTTACATTTAAAACAAACGTTTTAACATTAGAGGTTACATTTTGATCTACTGTTGTTTTTAATATACAAATGTCTTAACTCTAGGAGTAACTGTAATTAAATTACATAAAAATTTAGTAGTAAGCCTTGCTTCAAAGGAAAATCGTACTTTCTAGGGAAAAGTAAATAAATGAATGAATGACTTAGTAATGCATCACATTCGCACCCAACCCTGCAGTTCTCTCTCTTTTCTCCTCCTCTCTTTGTTCTCCCTCCTCTCTCTCAGTTTCTATTCCTCTGAAATGAAAGCTCACTGACGGCCGAGAGTGAGACTCGAGGACTCAATGTCCACCGGTCCAGCTGTGAGCTTCCAGAAAGCCTGATAAGAGCACACTAACACATCACATACTAATCCGCTGATGCTCAGAAAAACCGTTCAACTATTCATAATTGATGATTATAAGTAAAGAAACAATGTGGCTTAAATTTACTGCAAAATAACCAGATGAGTACAAATACGCAGAGTGACAGAGGTATATATATCATTGATAAGCAAGTTGTAAGTTCATGTTAAACATCTATTTGGTGAAAATTAACAGGAATTTTACTTTTAGAGCCCGAGTTTTGCATTCAATGCTGTCACCATGGAGATGAACCCATCATGGCAACAGAAATTCTAATTCTGAGGTTCCTCCTTTGATGCGTCTGAACAGATTGTATCATTGCGTTTTAAAACATTCTCTAAAAACCCAACGCTTTGATTTAGTGGATCTTTAAAATCAGCTCAACATGACGATCAGGTCTGAGAGCGACAAACTAGTGATGCACTGAAATTCATATTTTACTGAAACTGAAATTAAAGTTTTAATTTAGTTGAACGAAAAAAAAAAAAAACGATCTATTAATGAATAAATGTATTATTTATTTCAAAACTTGGGTTAGATTTTAATTACACACAATCCGTTTTTATATCAACCATAATAGTTTCTACTCTAAATCATGGTTAAAATATAAACATTTAAACAGTGGCTGTAATACATTTGTTTTCATTAAAGGATTTATTCAAACATACACTGCATAATGATGACAACAGGTTAAGTAAAAATAGAATATTTTTGGTTGCCGATATTTTGGTGCAAACCAAAGCAAAAGCTATTAAAATGCATCCAAAACACAAGAAACCACCATCCAAAGACAGCCTCAGAAAACAAATTATGTCGAAAATGTTAAGTAAAAATATTCAGGTGAAGAATAAAAAAAAGAAAGCACAAAAGACAAATTAAACAAAAGAAATAAATTCAATAAAATGTATTAAATATTAGAAAAAGAAAAAATTTATAAGAATTAATTCATATTTAATTACATTTAAATAAGAAATAAAAAAGGAAGAAAAACAAAGATAAAGTAAAAAGAAATAAAGAAAGATTAAGCAGATTACATAATTAAAAACAAAATTAGAAAAAAAAAAACATGAAAAAAAATCTTGAATCCGTGAATCCGGTTCATGGACTTAAGTCCGATTGCCACGAGAGGTCGCCCTTCCATCATATTGACTTTCACACGGAACAGACTGTTACACTATACCCTGGACTGCATTTCCCATCATCCATTGCACACAGCTGTAGCCAATCACACACACACTATATTACACCCACCAGATCCTTCTCAAACTGCCGAGTATTGTTTAGCGTTTATCACAGTTTAGTTGATCGCTACTTTACGGAGCACCATGTTTATAACACCATGTCTGCATTTGTGATCGGAGAAACGACAAACAACAAGCACTACTCTACACTACTCAAAACTCACTTTTGAATAGTAAGTAGCAAATTCTTTAACTAAGCAAACGTACTTACGGTCTGTGAGTCAGAAGCACTAGACTGTCCTCGCAAAGTTAGAATTGCCCCACTTTATAGAAACAGCCTTTGAGCCACAGCCGGCATTGTAGTCTACTCTCCCAGGATCAGGACACAGTCCTCCATAAAATGCGCTGCACACATCTGAATATTTGGGTTGAAGTGTTCTGGAACAGTGTTGTAAATACAACTTAACCACTGATTTCTAGCCGTGTCCTCTTTTGGAAGACCAAACAAAGTAGTTTCGCTTTCACAACGAAACACACAGCATCTTCACGACATGACGGCGACGGCAGCAAAAATACTACAGCGAGAATCAAAGTTATGCCTTCTTGCTTTGCTGAACATTTGGGCGGCGTTATGCAAATCTTCCCACATAGTGATGTAGACATGTGGGGGCGTGTTAGAACGAGCCGTTTTAGGAGGGTATGGACGAGTCTTAACTTTGATAAAGAATATCTCTTTGGTTTTGAGACTTTAGTCTTTGCAACTTCAGGGATCTTATCTATGCACAATCAGCTTGTAACACTCCAAAGAGAAAGGAAAACTTGAAATCGCATCATATGACCCCTTTAAAGAGGCATGAAATTAACAAATTCATCTGGATAGATACAGACATACGGTTCACTAGAGCAAATTATTGTTATTTCAGAAATAAATTGCTGATAAAAATGTCAAATTAATAACATTGAGTGCTTAATTTCTGATACAGTGAGAGATGCAAACCCAATGTACATGAGATAAAGAAATATTAGGAGAAAAACACATTCAAACAATGGCCACAGAAAGCACCGAAGCTCCAGATGCAGAAGATGGATGGATGCTTTACCTGCTTGCGTTCCCATCTGCTCCGAGCTTGCTGCATTTGAGGGGGCGGTACCTGCTGCTGCTGGGGGGCGGGGTTCATGATGGTGGGCGCCGGGGCAAAAGAGGGCGTGAACTGGGGCTGGGCATGGTAATACACCCCAGCTGGAAACAAAAATGCCACAAACGTCTCAGACTTTCTCAAAATGACAATCTGTGCAATCACCCAATTCAGATTCACAAATCTCTAGGATTCAGCTGAGGTGAAATCTCACAAAACGCTGAACTGTCAGTGATTCTTATCCTGGTAAACGCGTACACCTATATACACACACACACACAGCACCCTCCTTTAGCAAACACACAATCTGTCACACCCAAATTTATATGTAAACTGCACACCATCCGAAAACAGCCACGCTCTCATCTGCATACGCACTGGTGGTCTGTACAACAGAGTCGTTTTAATGTCAACACAATAAGAACAAAACGTTGTGCTTTTGTAAAATAATGAAAGCAAACAGGGAGCATTTTCTGCCGTCTAGGTCTCTGTGAACTTCAACGCAAAAAAAAAAATGTATGTATAGTGCCTATAAAAAGTATTCATACCCCTTCATTTTTTTCACATTTTGTTATGTTGCTACCTTATGTTAAACTGCTTTAAATTACTTTTTTTCCCCACATCAATCTACACTCCATACACCATATTGGCAAAGCAAAAAAATGGTTTTTAACATCTTTGCAAATTAAAAACTTAAATGATTCCATTGCATAAGTAATCATACCCTTATCTGGGACAGCTGAAATTTAGCTCAGGAGCATTCATTTTGCTTGTAGATGTTACAACACTTCGAGTGAAGTTAACCTGTGGCAAATTCAATTGAATGGGTATGATTTGGAAAGGCACACACATCTTATTAAAACGTTTAACAGCTGAAGATGCATATCAGAGCAAAACCCAAGCCCTGAGGTCAAAAGAACTGCATGTAGAGCTCAGAAACATGTCTGTCAAGCCACACATCTGGGGAAGAGTTCAGAAAAAAAAATTCTGCTTCGTTGAAGGGTCACAGAAGCATGTAGTCTCTGTTACCCTTAATGGAAGAAGTTTGTGGAGATGTTTGTGGAAACCTACAGAAGGACAAACATCACTGCAACACTCCACCTTTCTGGGCTTTATGGCAGTGTGGCCAAACTCAATCCTCTCCTCAGTGAAGACACATGAAAACACACTTGGAATTTACAAAAAAGCACCTAAAGGATCTTGAGACTCTGAGAAACAAGATTATCTGGTCAGATGAACCTCAATTCTAAGCATCATGTTTGAAGGAAAGCAGCTCCGCTCATCACCTGCAGAGTAGCATCCCTAAAGTAAAGTGTGCTGGTAGCAGCCTCATGCTGTGGGGCTGTTTTTCAGGGACTGAGGGACTCGTCAGAGTAGAAGATAAGCTCAGTGCAGCAAAATATTGAGATAGCCTTAATGAAAACCTAGTTCAGAGGATTCTGACCCTCCGACTGGACAGAAGGTTCACCTTCTAACAGGACAGTGACCCTAAGCACACTTATAGACAACTCTGTGAATGTCCTTGAGTGGCCCAGCCACAGCCTTAGCTTGAACCTAATCAATTATTTCTGGAGAAACCTGAAAATGTGCGTCTGCCCCCATCCAACCTGACAGAGCCTGAGAGGTGAAGAGGGGAGGAGAAGAATAACAGATAATTGCCAAATGCTGATGAACAAAGCTTATTGTATCATACCCAAAAAGACTATAAAATACTTATTTTTAATAGATTTATGAAGTTGTTTGTGTTTTGAAGTTTGTTTTTGCTTTGTCATTATGCTGTATGGAGTGTAGATTGATGTGGAAAAAAAATAAAAAAAACAGTAATTCTTGGCAAAGCAAAAAAATGGTTTTTAACATCTTTGCAAATTAAAAACTTAAATGATTCCATTGCATAAGTAATCATACCCTTATCTGGGACAGCTGAAATTTAGCTCAGGAGCATTCATTTTGCTTGTAGATGTTACAACACTTCGAGTGAAGTTAACCTGTGGCAAATTCAATTGAATGGGTATGATTTGGAAAGGCACACACATCTTATTAAAACGTTTAACAGCTGAAGATGCATATCAGAGCAAAAACCAAGCCCTGAGGTCAAAAGAACTGCATGTAGATCTCAGAAACATGTCTGTCAAGCCACACATCTGGGGAAGAGTTCATAAAAAAATGTTGCTTCTTTGAAGGATCACAGAAGCATTTGAAGGGTCACAGAAGCATGTAGTCTCTGTTACCCTTAATGGAAGAAGTTTGTGGAGATGTTTGTGGAAACCTACAGAAGGACAAACATCACTGCAACACTCCACCTTTCTGGGCTTTATGGCAGTGTGGCCAAACTCAATCCTCTCCTCAGTGAAGACACATGAAAACACACTTGGAATTTACAAAAAAGCACCTAAAGGATCTTGAGACTCTGAGAAACAAGATTATCTGGTCAGATGAACCTCAATTCTAAGCATCATGTTTGAAGGAAAGCAGCTCCGCTCATCACCTGCAGAGTAGCATCCCTAAAGTAAAGTGTGCTGGTAGCAGCCTCATGCTGTGGGGCTGTTTTTCAGGGACTGAGGGACTCGTCAGAGTAGAAGATAAGCTCAGTGCAGCAAAATATTGAGATAGCCTTAATGAAAACCTAGTTCAGAGGATTCAGAACCTCAGACTGGACAGAAGGTTCACCTTCTAACAGGACAGTGACCCTAAGCACACTTATAGACAACTCTGTGAATGTCCTTGAGTGGCCCAGCCACAGCCTTAGCTTGAACCTAATCAATTATTTCTGGAGAAACCTGAAAATGTGCGTCTGCCCCCATCCAACCTGACAGAGCCTGAGAGGTGAAGAGGGGAGGAGAAGAATAACAGATAATTGCCAAATGCTGATGAACAAAGCTTATTGTATCATACCCAAAAAGACTATAAAATACTTATTTTTAATAGATTTATGAAGTTGTTTGTGTTTTGAAGTTTGTTTTTGCTTTGTCATTATGCTGTATGGAGTGTAGATTGATGTGGAAAAAAAATAAAAAAAACAGTAATTCAAAGCAGTTTAACATAAGGCTGCAACATAACAAAACGTGAAAATTTATATACTTTTTATAGGCACTGCATATATATATTAACCGAAAGCTGTGCTTGCCTCACAGACATGAAAAATATATCAACAGAAAGTGAAATGTCTACTTTTAAATGAAGCAATTCAAATGGAAAACAAATATTTTCTGATTATGTAATCCGTATGAAACGTGCACGTCCACTGTGGAGATGAAGAGTCAGTGTCGACTTCATCACTGCAGCCGAAAATACCGAAAACACTAGTTTATCAATGAATTATTATGATGTTAAGGCAGTCTTCTTGCTGTTTTCCCCTGAAACATTCATAATCATAACTTCTGCAGTGCTCTGTGGCAAGGTTTATGTGCGCGCTGATAGGCTACAGGCAATTAAAGGGTCATTATATGGTTAATTAATATAAGCATGCGATTAGTCGACTAATTGATTCAAATGTATGTAAGGTCAAAAATTATCAAAGACTTCTGCTTTCCTGTCCCAAACCTATCTTCAGTAACAAAAGGGCCATTTGGAATTCCTGAAGGCACAGAGGTGCTGATAGTGATCAATGCCTGTAGGCCAACATGTGTATACACCGGGGGTCTGCTAATTGTCACACCTTTTGCCCAGTGGGTGAAGTTATAATCTGCTGATTGGTCAGTTTGAATGTCTCACATTTGGTTTTTAGTCACATGGTCAAGGAAGGGATAAAAGAAGACTGTAACTGTTGCTCTGTTTTTTTCCTTGGCTGTCTCTCTTCTTGGGTCTCTGCCCTCTCTCCCTCTTTTTCTTCCTCTCTCTATCTCTTTCTCTCAGGTAATATTTTACATGTTGGGTACAATTAACTATGCTTTACCATCCTTCATCTATTTTGTAACCAATTCAAGTGTAACCATAACAAAATATTGTTATTAAACCATTTCAATTATTAATTATGTGCTAACTAGTCTTGATTCAAGGTTCATCTTAAAGTGTTACCTATTGCAATACAATAGTCACACAATAGCAACGCTCTCCCACATATGTAGCTATTCTAACTGCGCTTATTTCCGTCGTTGGTATAAGTGGCAGTGGGTGGTAATAGACTAGAAATGTACAGTTTTATACCATCGTGCTGATAACGTTTCTTTAGTCATTCGGCAATCCTACAGCCTGAACCACCGTAGGAAAACCATCCTTACATGTACGACTATTAGTCGATCAGAAAAATATTCAGTCGAGGGCAGCCCTATCATTTACAAAACTCTTCTTTCAGCTTCTACAGGAAGAACATGGACACAATCAGTGAGTTTTTCTGCTTGTTTTCTTACTGACTTACATTGTAGGAAGTCGTTCCTGGTTCTGGGAACAATGTTGGTGAATGTGACTGTGGAAATCAACAGACATGAACAGTGTGATTCTCATGATCCTGCATCCATTCCTAAGACATTTCTAATATGATGTTCTCCATGATATGAGATGATGATGGACTGGTTTCTGAGAGCAGATGAATCTGCAGGACTTTACCTCTGTCTGAGATCTTCTTGAGCTCCTCTTTGCAGAAATCCTCCAGTTTGTCTCTCAGCTGATGAACAGATTCTCTCAGATCATCAAAAGAGACGAGAGAACTGAAGAGATCGTCATTTATGTCTGTAGATTCAGGAGGTTCTGAGAGAGACTGGAAACTCTACAGAAAACAGAAATCAAAACTCATCAGCTCCACACTTCACTCAATAACCTGCACCGACATCAGATTTGGGCGGCTCTTGTTGACTCGACTGATCTTTAGTAACTCACCTCAATCCAGCACTTTCACAGCATCAGCTTCATTCTTCTCATATTCATTATATCACATTAGAGCTACAGATTCTAGTATTTGACACTTACACTATATGTGAACCTTCTGGGAAATAGTTTGGATGATAAAACATCTGCTGAGAACATAAATCTCCATCTAACAGCTCAAGCACATCAATGAGTCTCATTGTAGGGATGAGTAGATTTGCTCAGGAAAAACAGCTCAAAGGTTATGATTAGATTAACTGCTCTAAAGTTATAAATAATGGTCAGAGACACTGAAGCTTCACAAGGACCCTTAAGACTCAGGTTTGGTTTCAATATGTTGTAGCATTGCTAATATACAACCTTACTTCATGTTTGGCGTCTTCATGGTCAAATTCATCAATGTGTTACAAGCAAATAAAAATCAC